GGTTCAAATTTTAAATTACATTTTTAACCCAACATTTGGGTTTTCCATATTTGACCCAAATTTGTTGCGTCGTTGTGAGTGTATTCTATTCTTTTTCTCATTGTTTTTTTTCTATTTATACCTTCCTAATGGGGAAATACAAACTACATTTCTCCCCACCTGTCTCGGTGACTGTAGTGCTGTGGTTTAGGTGGTTGGCCGATACACCACTTCTCTGTGTGGTTAATGGATAACTGCCGCAGCCGGGCGGCCATGATGAAACGTTGACATTTCCCTCCGATTATTCATCCGCCCCTTTGTTCTGAGTGTTTGCTAATGGCCTGGGCGCTGGGCGGAGTGCTCTGGAGATGGAGAGACAGGAGGAGGAGGGTGAGAGAGACAGAGACAGAGAGAGAGGGGTATCTGAGGCACACCCCACTGTTTGTTCCTTGTGTTTGCTCAATATGGCATGTGGGTGGAGGGTCTTAGGGACCAGAGTGACCTGCACTGTGCTAGTTAGGGCACTAGCCAAGACCCTTAGGGAGCTATACATGTAAACAGACATTATTAGGATCATTACAAATAAACTCAGGTCCATCTAATGTCACAACGTATAAGTTGGGTGTTACAGTAATTTAGTAAATCTCATGATAACATGTCCAGTCATATTTCGGTAACACTTTTTTTTTAGGGTCTAAGTCTCATCATTAACTAGCTGCCAAATGTCGCACTTGTGCTACTCGCGGTCGCATTGGAAATTAATGGGAAATGAATTTCATCAAGTGGAAACTTTTGGGTTCTGCGCACAAACAAAATCTTTGCTGAAAGCTCATTTTTTTGAGATTGAAATAAAACCAACGTTATCTCACGACCAATTCGTTCGAGTGATTAAAAAGTGGCTAATTCATACTAATTCATACAACCTCACTCGTATGAATTCGTACGATTTGTCTAAAGCTGGATAGGTTTAGGGGTGGGGTCAGGGGTAGGTAATTCGTACGAATTTATACGAATTGGCCAATTCGGAAAATATGTGCGATTTAGCAAAAATCGTACTAAAAGTGAGGTCGTACGAATTGTTACGAATTAGCCACCTCATAAAATTCGTACGAATTCCTGTGAGATCGGGTTGAATAAAACTAATACAATTTTACATTTTTTATCTCCATGCATACCGCACCACAGGGTTTAATGATATATAGTTGTTGTTGTTGTTTTCCACATTATAGTAATGCGATTGAGATTTTTTGCGTTACAAAAATATGAAAATTGATTAATGTGATTACTTTTCATGAAAGTAATATCATAAAAATGTTGCAAAAATTAATAGTCTTAAAACAGGCATTGTTTCTTTATGCAAATGTTAACTCTTTCCCCGCCATCAATTGGGTTATAGGACTGTGACGCTTTGGGGGTGTTGATGGACTCGATCTACTCCATTTGTTTTTATCATAGTTTTTTGTTTTTTAGCTTTTTGTTAAAACAATTAATTTGTTTGTTTATCACATTCATCACATTCAAGTGAAAAAGAACACATGAAGCTAGAATAAAATGTTGTTGTTGTAGTTTTTTAAAGCATTGGCTCCATTCTTTCTTTTGATAAATTGTGTGTTCAGATATTCATATAACAACATATTCTGTGGGCCATAAAGCTTTTGTGAAAATTACCAAAATGATGCGCTGGCTAGCAACTTTTTTCGAAAACGTTGGCGGGGAAAGATATCAAATTTAATTTCTAATTTCCCGTGATTGATCTTGTGAAAATGAGTGTAATATGATCTGGACATTCTTGACCAGAGTTTCCCCCAAATACTCAAGATTGCTCTTATAATGATCAGGATTTCATGGAGAGCCAAGGTTTTAGCATCAGGTTTCTTTTCTTCATGTTGATTTTAGAGTTCTTAACTGGACTAAACAGTGAAGTCTTGAAGTCTTTCTACAGTCTTATCAGCAGAAGGGTGGGGTCATGGACTAAAGCCACCAGAGTGGAATGAAGAAGGGATGAGGAGGGAGATCGCTCAGGTAAATACAATGCCTGACCACTCCAAAGAAACAGAGGGGGGAGAGAGCGGAGAAACGGGAATGGTTGGTCGGGCTGTAGGTATTGTACCTATATTTGCTCTGTTCACTGACACCTGAGCAGTTGATTAGATGAGGAGGACAAAGACAATAATAGGAGCAGAACATGTGCTGGTGGAAAAAAAGGCTGGCTTTTCATAACCAAGAGTATGAATATGAATGCATACCATGAAGATGAGGGTGGAAACACAAAAGCTGTAACTTTGGCGGTAACCTTTCAAAAGATACTAATATGTTCCTTTAAGAGACTAATATGCACCGTTTAGGGGTAAATTAAGTATAAAGACGTACCTTTTGAAAGGATACCGCACCAGTGCACAACTTTTGTAACATTTTCTGAGTGTGTAGAATGTGATCGTATAAAAAGACAGGCACTCTATCGTGACAAATGAACCAATCAAGTCATCTCAAAGGAAATTGTATTGCTCAGTATCTGTTTTTAGAGCCTTTAGTTCCTAAACTGTGGATACTTCATTGAGTTCTCATATTAATGCGTCATTTAAATATCAACTTGGATGTTTCTCCTAAAATTTGAACTGAGGTCCAGTAAAGTTTTAAGATGAAAAATTTAATGAGAAATTCATACTGAGATATTGGTGACATTTTACCCGTTAACTCTTTCCCTGCCATTTGTAAAAAGTTGCCAGCCACCGCCTTTTAGAAGATGCTTACTAGCGCCCCCTACCATATAACCAACATGACGTCATGACTTTGCGTGAACATACACGCCACTTTCGAGTCAAGTGGCGTGTTTTCTCTACGCATTTTGAGCGTGTATGTCTACACCAATGCCCGAGTGATTCCCCGTGTCAGTATACACCGTCAAAAGTCTGAGCGAAACGAAGCAAAATGTAGATCTACATTTTGATCTGGGGAGCGATCTTTTTTTTTTCCTAGGATGGTAAGGGAACACTCATTAATGGGATTAACCCCAGTGACGGGTAGGTTTAGGGACGGGGTTGAGGTAAGTCATATATTTATATATACAGCAATGTAACGTTAAGTCAGCGGCGTGTTGCGTGTTGATACTAGCACACCAAAAATGGAAATACGAATTGGTGTGTCATACACACGCTACTTAATGAGATCAGTCTGATATAACAGTTACAGAAGTTACATGCACTAACTAATAAAAGTAGTGAATTATGCATAATTACATGCAACTAACCCTATTAAACCCTAATCCTAACCCTATAAAAAGTGCATGTGGTTAATTAAGGGTCTGTTAACTAAAAACGGGATAAAATTCATGCCTGAAAAACGCAAACTTTTGAAAACAGGTTTTTTGAAAACAATATACCGTTATTGTCTCTATGTAAACTACAAAAACGCATATTTGTGAGAACAGTGGTGTATTACGTGTTCAGTATAGGGCCGGCGCTTGTGTTTCTTTACCAACTCGCAAACTACTGGCCTGGCAGGAGAATACAGCTTTTTTAGTCGTTTTCATGGGCACAAAGGAAAAAGTACAATGGAAAAACGTTCCCATTTTTAGTACATCGTTGTCATGTAAACAGTAAAATTGCAACCTTTTTTGTCTTTTAATGATTTGGAAGTTGTTATGCATGCTTTTATTAAGTCCAGATTGGACTATTTATTTTATTATGGTATTTCTCATGCATCAATTTCACGTCTGCAGTCGGTTCATAATGCTGCTGCTATAGGCTTTTGATTAGGAAACATGCGAGTATAAGTTATAACACCTGTAGTACTATCATCCCTTCAGGCTTCCAGTCAAATTTAAGATGAAGTATAAGATGTTATTATTTGATTTTAAGGGCGTACATGGGATGGCTCCAGGTTACATTAGTGAACTTCTTCAGCAACATACATCCTCTAGGCCTTTAAGATCTGTACAGAGGTTTCAGCTTACTATTCCTAAGTCTCGACTAAAATTAAAAGGTTTGCATCTCCTTGTTTATGGCGCAGTTTACCCCTCCATGTTAGATCTTGTGCCACCCTTGATGCATTTAAATCAAATTTAAAGACTCATCTCTTTTTCTCTCGCATTTGATTGTAATTCATTTTTATAAATGTTTTATACTTTGTTTCATAATCTTAGATATGTTGGGCTTTACACTGTAAAAAATATTGTTGGTTTAACTTAAAAAAAAATTAAGTAACCTGGTTACCTTAACTTAAATTCATTGAAATTGAAAAATGTAGTTAATACAATGAAAGAGATTGATTTAATAATCAGAAACTCAAAATAATATGTTATCTGAACCACATAAATTATCTAAGTTGATTTGACAGAAGAAAAAACTGTCAAAAAACGTTTTTTTTTTTTTTTTTTTTTTTTTTTTACAGAAAGCACTTTGGCCAACGTGTGTCCTATATATATAAATGTGATTGATTGATGTGATTTAATAAAATACTGGTTTACACTTGATATTTTATCAAACACAACTGTGCATTGTTAGTTTATGTCAACTAAATAACTTTAACAGATAATAAAAAATGTAACACTTTATTTTAATGTCCTTCCATCGCAATACCTAAATTACGCATAATTACATGCAACTAACCCTAAACCAAACCCTAATCCATAATAAAAAGAAATTAGATTTGTCATTATTAGTTCATGCCAACTAATATAGTTAACTAATGTGAACCAATAGAGCTTTATTGTAAAGTGTATGCAGACATTGAGACATGATTGAGAATCATTGAGAATATGTGAGTTTCCAATGGTGTTTTTCTGTAGGAGAAAACTGTTTAAACTCTATTTAAACGCATTAGTGTGTAGAATAACAGCTGAGACATTAAAGAGATCGTATTTGTGACTTATCTTCCATATGGCGTTTGTTTTCTATTTCTCATAGGATTTTAATGTAAAGTCTAATTTCATTCAAATATCAAAATGTATTCATTTAGCAGGCTCCTCATTTAAAACGAATCAACAGTATATATTGTGTGCAGTGCGCTTTAGAGGACTGAAGGACCCGCACCTGGTCGGAGAGAGAGCAGGGGGAAGGCGAGCGAGAGAGGAGGGCAGCTTTAAAGCTTTTACCACTGTGCAAACAGTAGGCTGATTGCTTTTAATGGGATCAACTAGAGGCCTCTGTGAGAATCAGCCCTGCCCTGGCCAATACCGGGATGTCGGGTAAGTGTAAGCTCACTTCTCATTACTGGTCTTGAAAGAGGCCGTGTAATCCAGCACACGTAAATGCAAACACACATACAGTCTCAGCAGCACAGACACCTTTGTGATGGGACGGTAACAGCTGAAGGACTCGCTGACTAAACTTCTCATGCCCTTATATGGCAAAGCCAACAGATTTCAACTTTTTGTTTTCGTCTCATTATAATTAACCAAACTATTAAAAAAATACTTTAGATTATTTTATTTCAGTTAGTTGCCATTGAAGATTAATCGATGTAGTAAAATAACTAAAAATAAAACTGAAATAAAAATTAAAATAATACATTACAACAGGAAAAGAAAACTTTAACTTAAATAAATAAAATAAATACTTAAATAAAATAAATAAATACAAAATACTTATTCTAAAAAATTAAACTATTAAAAAATACTAAAACAACCCTGGGTCAAATTAAAACGGTCTATTTTTTCATTTCGTCATCAATTAAATTTACTTCTCTTCAAATGTCCTTTAAACATATATTTGATCTTAATGTGTATATATTATATCTTTTTATTATTATTATTATTAAGACTTTTCTTCAGTTGTGGGATCATTTTCACCACTTCAAACTATTTTGCCCCTTATAAAGTTTTTCGAAAGTTGAGAAAATACAGATAAATTAAAGATAAAAATTCCTTGTGAACAATATTTGTATTGTGCATCATTTCTAATCAAGCTGTTATAGTGACAAATTATGTAAAAAAAAAATTACTAAAATTAGTGGATATCTTATTCTAAAGATGTCATTTCCATCAGTCAAAATGATATTAAACAAAATACATAATTTGAGATGTGATGGAAATGACAGTTTAGCTGTAGACAGTTCTTCTGTGAGATACACTGTGATGTACATTGTTTGTGGCAAATTAATTAAACTAGTAATTGTGGGAATTATGTTCTTCTCTCAAAGCCCACAGGACCAAAACTGCCCTTAGTTGAAGAAATTAGTCCGAAATGATCTGAAATTTCAGATAAAGCTTATACACATCCAGTCTCGGCTTAAGGCACACAAAATTTGGAAACACTTCAGGAGTTTCAAAGTCGTCAGATTGGTTTAGGATTTCCGGGAGACGTGTGTGTCGGCTTCTGACTCATCGCTTATTTTCATGGAAGAACAAAGCTGTCGTGTTTACTTACAACTGTGACAATGAGCGCTTATCAGGATCAACTAAATGCTGGATTATCAAAATGATGTGAAAGGAGTAGTTCACTTTAAAAAAAAAATTTGCTGATAATTTACTCACCCCCATGTCATCCAAGATGTCCATGTCTTTCTTTCTTCAGTCGAAAAGAAATTAAGGCTTTTGATGAAAACATTCCAGGATTTTTTTCCATATAATGGACTTCAATGGGGACCAAACGGTTCAAGGTCCAAAAGACAGTTTCAATGCAGCTTCAAAGGGCTTTAAACGACACCAGACGATGAATAAGGGTCTTATCTAGCAAAACTATCGCTCATTTAAAAAATAAATAAAAACGTTTAAGTTTTATAAGCACAAATGCTCGCCTTGCTCTGTTCTGTGATGAGCGTTTGTGACTCTCCTGTTCGAACTTGTTCATCAAAATGAACAAATCTTTTTTCGAGTCATGACTCGAAGGGTCCTAGATAAGAGCCTTATTCATCATCTGGAATCGTTTAAAGCCCTTTGAACAGTTTGCACTGAAACTCTCATTTGGACCTTCAACCGTTTGGTTCCCAATGAAGTCCATTATATGGAGAAAAAAAAATCAAAAACCTTAATTTCTTTTCAACTGAAGAAAGAATGACATGGACATCTTAGATGACATGGGGGTGAGTAAATTATCAGCAAAAGTTTTTTTTAAGTGAACTACTCCTTTAAAATACGTCCAGGAGTTTTACATGTCGGTCTGTTATTGTAGGGACATAGATAATACATTTCCACGCCTCTAATCACGATGCTGCTCAGAACGAACTGTGATTGGTTGCTTTGCATGTCAGTCAGATGGCCTCTGGGCGGTCCTTGGCCAATGAAAGCTGTGATAGAGACCAGCGTTTCTACATCTGACTGAAGGTCTGGCTACACGAGACTGATACACATACAACCAAACTAATCTCACAAGAAAATATAACTGTTATGAGGTGGCTTTGTATTGTGAATTGTATAAAAACATACAAGTAATGGAAAAAATGACTCCCTAACCCTACTGCTAAATATTCTCGTCACTGGGGCGTAAGCAGATGGTACAAAAGAGATTCCTTAAATTCATTCGCATTACACAAATTCCCCCAAAATGAAGACTGACTGAGTTTTGGCAATTCTTGGTGTTCAGCTCTTTCATAGACTATACCATGTTCTCCTCTCAGTGGTCCACGAATGAAGGCACTCCGCTGGAATAAGTTGTGATGCATGACCTATAGTGATGGATCTGTGTTTGATGAGAGGCAGGGCAGGTTTCGGTATGGTGAAACCAAAGAGAGAAGCTCTGAGCTAACATAGAGAGTTTGGCTGAGGATCAGCACACGGTTATGACTTACAGCGGGTTAAAGGATCTGAATTCAACCCAATTGCTGATTGCCATTGAAGAGCTGAAATATTTTTACTTGACTTAATTTTTACTTGTGTGTGACTAGGCCTATTGTAACCTGCTTTGTTATCCGGGGAAGTTTCAAATCAAACGAGATTTTTAATTGCTCTCCATTTGAAGGGATAGTTCACCCAAAAATTAAAATTAATTTACACAAAAGTCTATGGCCTGCATATTTCAATTGTTTTCAAAAGGCGCGCCGCATATATTCTGGTCATCACTGTCACTTTTTACCCAGCCGTCCAATCAAAGTGGAGGAGGGGTGGGACAAATACAACACTGACCAATCGTCCTCTCTCTCTTCATGATTCAGCCATTTCATCCATATAAAGGCTAGATGTCTTACGGCAAAGTCTTTATCGTCATCACCGGCGGCCATCTTGCCACAGGCAGGCTTTCTGGTGGGCTCTGTGGTATCTGATGTTAGATGAGTGATCAGCACGAACACAAATACTCTTATCTCGTTGAAATCTTGACGGTTTGGTTTCTTACAAACGTTATTAACGTGGCTATAGTTATCTGGATGATTATTTATTTATACACTTATTATTCATAAGTATGCACTGTCATAACTACATCTCTGAGGCTTATAACAAACCAAACCGTTTGGAAATCGGTAGAAATTTGAGCAAGTTACGGTTATTTAAAAATTACATGCACCATTAAAACAATGTTACGAGTGAGCGAGCTGCCTGTGGCAAGATGGCCGCTAGGTGCAGACGTCGACCTCCATTGGCCAGCAGCGCGGACAAGATATCTAGCCTTTATATTGATATCTATGATTTCATCATCCAAAAACAAGGGCCAAAACTAAATTGTCAAATTGTGTAATAATCATCCTCATGTTATTCCCAACATATATGACTTTCTTGCTGTGGATCACAATATTGAAAGTCACAAATACTTACATTGCACCCCATTGACAAAAAACCAAACACATTTGAAACATTCCTCCAAATACTTTGGTTGTATTCCCACAGAAGAAAGAAAGTCATACAGGTTTGGAATGACATGAGGGTTAGTAAACGATTTTTGGGTGAACTATCCCTTTAAATTCTAGATTTGAAGTCCAACCTTTGAAGTGTCTGTTTCCAGATACAGAACAACAGAGGCTGTTCTTCTTTGGATGTTATTCTTGATAATCTATTGATTGTTTGGTCCATTAAATGTGACTCACCACAAGCAGAGCTTGAACTAATACAAATGACACGTTTTCGATATATTTCAGAAGTGCAATGTGCAAAGCATGCAAATAAGGGTTTGTGAACTACATTTTATTGAGCGACCCCTGGTTCAGGTAAGTGTTCTCTTGAGCATTTATTGTGAAAGTTGGAGAGGTTAAGAGGTGCTTGTGTCGTCCACTGTGGACTGATAACACTCTTTCAGTCCCCACTCACAGGCCTGGCCCAAAGCCAACTGATAACACAGTCACATACCATCTTTATTAATGATTGGTCAAGTCCCGGGACGGAGCACAAACCCCCCGGCAGGTGAGATGAAGGATCTTTCCGTAATGACCACGACGTCTGAGCTCCACCCAAACAAAAGCAATGCGTTCACACACTGCTATGGCAACATTCCTTCAGGAACTAAAGAAAGCAGGCAGAAAAAAAAGGCTCTATGAGGAAGCTTACGTCATCCAGGGTATTAGACATGGCATGAAAGGCACTCTGACATCTTGATAACATTGGTTAATTAGTTAACATACAGAATATTAACTATAAGACACAAATCATGTGGAAAATTTGACATTCGTGTAGGTCTATAAGGTTAAAAGTGTCCGACTTGGGTTTCTAAACTGCCTAAAATGTCTGGGATTTGGCTTTGTTTAGATATTGACGTGCTCTCTACAGTTCTTTTGTAATCTATGCGTGAACGTTCTCTGTAGATCCTGCCTTCTTATATGCCAAAATACATTACTGTTGGGATTATTTTGTTGGCCAAAACCTGCATTTCAGCGCTTGCAGTTTCCATCGCCCTGAGTCGATGGGTTTTTGGGTGAATGCATCAAGATATTGTCATGTTTTACAGGTAAACTTTCACAGCCTCGTTGTGTTTATAATCGAGCTCTTGCAAATTATTCTAACTCAAACTTTCAGTGAAAATGTTGTTAATATAAAGACCGAAAGCTTTAATGGTGGTGACGCTGAAGTCATGCAACCATGGTGTACCTCATTTATAGCCTACATTTAGCTTTTTAATTCTGACAATTGTATTTAGGCTTCAAAATTTAGAGTTTTGTTCATCTGTGAAGATTTTCATGATCAACAAAAAATGTTGTCAGTCACAGAGCTTAATTTTGCAATAATCCAGTCCAATGCACTTTACGGTTCAAGTTCCAAAAGACAGTTTCAGTGCAAACTGGTCACAGGGCTTTAAACGATTCCAGACAATGAATAAAGGTCTTATCAAGTGAAACGATTGCTCATTTAAAAACAAAAATTAGTTAAAGTTTAAGTTTTATAAGCTCAAATGGTCGCCTTGCTCTGTTCTGTGATGAGCGTTCGTGACTCTCCTGTTCGAACTCGTTCATCAAAGTGAACAAATCTTTTTTTGAGTCATTTGGTTCATTCAACGATCGTAATGAACGAATTGACTCGGAAAAAGATTTGTTCATTTTGATGAACGAGTTCGAACAGGAGAGTCACGAACGCTCATCACAGAACAGAGCAAGGCGACCATTTGAGCTTATAAAACTTAAACTTTGTTATTTTTTTATTAAATAAGAGATCGTTTCACTTGATAAGACCCTTATTCATCGTCTGGAATCGTTTAAAGCCCTTTGAAGCTGCACTGAAACTGTCTTTTGGACCTTGAACCGTTTGGTTCCCATTGAAGTCCATTATATGGAGAAAAATCCTGGAATGTTTTCATCAAAAACCTTAATTTCTTTTCGACTTAAGAAAGAAAGAAATGGACATCTTGGATGACATGGGGGTGAGTTAAATTATCAGCAAAAGTATTTTTACAGATCACAGCATCCCAGAATTTGCCTTTTTCACCGAAATGAAAACGCAGAGCACAGCTTCAGGCACAGTAGTGAATGGCTGTCTCCATTTACAATGGCAAAAGAAAAATTGGTGGCACTTTATTTTACAGTCCTGTTCCCCGTGTACATACATAGTAATTGCATTAACCGGGTAATAACTAGGTACTAACCCTGAACCCTAAAGTAGTTGCCTAATATTACCCAGTCCCTTCTTAAATACAAGTATACATGAGTGCATGTACTGTACAATAAAGTGCAATTCAAAAATGTAAATTTACTGAAATATTCATCCAGGGGTGCGTTTCACGAAAGCATCGTTAGCCAACTATGGTCGCAAGTTCCGTCATTATCAGCATAGTTCAACGAGTCGGTGTTTCCCGAAACAACATTCGCACACCTGTGGTTAGAGGCATAGTTTCTGTATTGCAGCACATTTGGACGTAATAAATCCTTATCTTGAGCAAAATAAGCGAGCTGACATTCAGTTCAACCGCTGCCTTTTATTTAGAATACACACAAATTTAATTTACGTCTTTTAGTTCGTCAAAAGATTTAAAGTACTGATTTTGAAGAGTGCGCATGTGCGAACGTGCTCTACTATGTAAGAACGAGCCAAATATTGAGTCTGGTAATAAAGCAAAACAACTGAGAACAATTAGAAATATTCCTCAGATGACATAAAATCTAGCGTTTATTGGAATTGTTAATTGGAAAAGTAGTTACTCCACCATGTGCGAAACCAACGTGGTTGAATGATACTTTGCGACAGTGGGTTTCGGGAAACAGTCGTGACTAGCTAGTTGATTTCTCCAATGATGCATCGTACTATGGTAGTGAACCCTGTTCGGGATCACCTGTAAAGCTGGTGCATGTCATTGGCAAAGTAGCAGGAGTGAGATTGTGAGCTTAATCAACTAAATTAAACACCGAGCTAGCATTTGTTAAACATTAGTTAATGCATAAGGTATCAACAACCGTTGTCTTTTTTTAAAAGCAGCCTAATTTATTATTACATGCAACCAGTTTTAAGTTACCGCATTTTTAAAATCACAAACAATATCAGACCTTTGGGTTTGGCAACCTGATCTCACGAGAAAACATAATTATTTTACAAAGTGAAAATTGCGTATAAATTCAGATGATGTGATGCATACGAAAACAATATTTGTCGGATTCACTTTAAAACAATTTTCACGAATAATCTGCAATTAACACATTGAATTAAATAAGAAATGTTAAAGTAAAATGACTGAAACAGTATTTTCTTGTACATATGTGTGAATTGTGTGTATTCTAATTAAGCTACAGTAAGCATGAAGGTCCACCCCAAACTTGTCCGTCAGAAAGCGCACGAATGAGATCATACAAATACGATTTATCATTACATTAAAAAATGTTGTCAAGAGATTGTGTTGTTTTGGTGGACCACGAGCCGAAAGCCATGACCTCTGCAAGGCAGCGGCCCAGACCGATGGCCTGGTGGTGTGAGTGTGCGGCGCTCAAACTCAGCTGTGTCTGTTGTGCAGGAGGAAATACTGGTTAATGAGTAGCCTGTGCTGAGTTGTGGCCCTCTGTTACAGGTGTGGGGGCCAAGGACAGCAGCTGATAAGACTAGACATGACCGGGGAGAGGGGGAAGAGAGAAGAGAGAACAACCGCACAACAGAGAACAGATATCAACGACCTGGCGTTACTAAGAGACCAGCCTTGATTCATCAGCATATAACGGTATCCAGCACACTCCTACGTGCCTTTTACACTATAGAACCGTTGGATATGAGATTAGAGAAGTATTTTAACAATGACAAAATTTTGCATCACCTTTTAGCAATCAGGTAGATAAGAGGGCTGAGCGGTAAAACATTAGGCCTGCAAAACACTGAGCCATTAGAACTACCTCGAGCACCTTTTACGAAACAGTTACTGCACAACAAAATAATTAAGAATATAAAACATTCATTAAAGGGTGTCTCAACTAAAGGCACTTTTGGCCCTGTGGACTCATTAAATTAATACGTTTATGAATGAATGACTAACATTGTCCAACAATGAACATGCATCCCAGCAAAATCACTTGTCATTTTTGTTATTTAAATTATCATTTACTTTACTTTACTTTATCCAACTGTGAATACCTGAATCACAGCAAAACCATGTCTTTTTGGTCTTTAAAATAAATAAACATTTGTCTAAAAATGTATTTTTATATATATATATTTGTCTACCAACACTATCCACAAGTGTATATAAATGTATGACAGCAAAATCAAAGATAGTTCAATGAATGGCAGGGATTGACTGGAGAGAATGGGGTCAGGAAAGCACCATGCCTTGACAACAAGGCTTTTGCTCTCACATTTTGAGCATTTTTGAAATAAAATGTCTTGCTAATTTGGCTAATTTTATAGATAGCGTTAATCCTAAATCCACACAAAGCTGTTGCTATATCATGTATTTAGCACAACTAGAAATCTAGATGTGTTTGATAATGCACGTGATGGCTGTGGCAGGTACATTTCACCTTTGAAATCTGACTTTAAAAAGTGTGTATTGTATGTTTAACATTCAGCCTTAATTTTAATTTGACTCTGCAGGGTTTCTAAGTCTGCACAGCTCTGTTGCTCAATCATGGCTTATCATTCTGTGTCATGGAGTGGGCCACACACTGAAGATCGGATCAATAACCTGGTCCACCTCTTCCCACACATTGTTCGACCAGGCGAGGTAATGAGTTACTTATGCCACTCTGCACCTTCAAACCCCCATTAACCAATCCTCCTACACCCCAGCATACCCTCCCTTCCAGCCTTCACCCAGGTGAACAAACGCCGTCTTACTCCCTCGGTTTCTTTCACCCAATCATACTGGGGTCACCTGCATATACAAAGCAGATACAGTTAGGAGGGCCTTCCCCTTATGCTGATTCTAATGTGTTTTGGTGCTCGGCATACCTGTCAACGTTTGGTTTTCAAAATCCAGGAGATTTGTCAATTGGGGGGTGGGGTAAGTGCAAATAAGGTGTGTGGCCCCTTTAAGAGCTGTGCGCTCCTTGTTGAACTGTTACGACATCACTCTGTAGGCCAAAACACGGAAGTGAGTTAGCATTTTAGCTCTCCCGGTTCCCTCGCTCTAAAGTCTATGGGATTTTTGAACGGGTTTTTGCTAAATCGCCTGAAATAAGGTCTGTGGTGAACAACGCCTCTAAATATTTTCACGTTTTGATCTATGACATAGAACAGACAGTTATAACCTGCTTCTGTTTTTTTTAAGTTTATTGTGTCTGCTTGTGTTTTTTAAAAACTTGCTTCAAAATGTATACATTTTGGATTAACTTGTAAAGGTTATCTTGATAGACATAACGTGTAAGGGTCACAACCCTTTGTTAAACACAGATCTTATTTTTTGCGATTTTCCAAAAGTCTATGGGGAAAATGCATAGCTTTTCGATCGAGGGAACCCATGCGCCGCTAGCATACGAGTTGTCCTACAAAGTGACGTCATCACTTCGGCACTCTTATGCATTGACGTCACTTTCCCACCGGAACAACCCCCCTCAGCCTGACGAGTGGCAAAAGATCTGCTGCGTGACTGGATTTAATAGGGTAAACGGCGAAAATGCGACTAAAACGAACAATTTTATCAATTTAAACTAAATGTTGGACTCAATATAGTGTTCCTTACAACTTACTAAAGATCCAGTGATCCATGGATGTTGACATGCAGCCAGGAATCGTGTTGCCTGACATTTATGTTTGCCTGATTTCCACACCGGGGAAATAAAAGCAATATAGACCTAAACATAAAGCAAATTTGCCTGTGAACGCTTTATATAAATACAATATAGTCTAAATCCTGGCGATCACTTATATCAGTGTTATATATAGCCTATATATATCATCATATCGTCCAGCCCTAAAACTTCATAGGTTTTTTTTGGTCAGTGTTTATTAAAAAACATCCAATAATGCAGAATATGGAATAATAAATATTAAATTGATGAGTTGTTAATATATATATATAACAATACAAAATATCTGGGTATGGTTTTACACCTAAATTCAGCATATTGACACAAAATGATAACTGCAAATCCACTTCTCGCTGACTGGAGTCCAGTTGTTTCTGTGAATTGTACAGTCAATCGCAAAGCTCTTTTACGGTCTATGCGAACACCCCATGTATGCGGATAATTCCTGTTTGATGCTAATTTTTATCTTATTTTGTTTATTAAGTAACGAGTACACGAGTTCGTTTTGGGAATAAAGTGCGAGTTGTGAGATGCCAATCGCCTCCGTGAGTCTGTCTGGCCTCTGCATGCAATAACTTCAGTTGTGTGCTATCCATATTCTTCCTGAAGCAACACGCTAACTGTAGCCTACTTCAGTTTCTTTGCTGGGACACCGCCTTCACCTGCCATCTTGTCTATCGGCTCGCTTTCAGGTTAAACTTTCCGCGACTGCGCAACTGTGTTATAGGTTGCCAGGTTGAGGTGACAAACGGGTTGAAATTGTGTGAATATAATGCATTTAATCAAATCTGGCAACTGGTCATTAAACAACATTAGACAAACATATTGGTTCGATTATTCATAAAGAAGTTTGGGCAATGCAAATTACGGGAGTTTCCCGGGAAATATAACATATTTACGGGAGATCAGGCTAAAAAACGGTAGAAACGCGGGAAAAAACGGGAGTGTTGACGGGTATGGTGCTCAGTCTAATCCCCTTTCAACAACATTTCTCAGAAATCGCTTACTGCCCCTTTAAATATCATTTAGGTTTGTAGCCCCGCCCCTTTTTGCGCTCGTTGTCTTTTGTCTTCCGGTATGTATTTTCACAGTGATCTTGCCTATATTTATGAATGAACGGCTCGTTTTAAAATCTTCCCGGTCTACTGACATCTGCTTTAAATATTACAATCCTCATGATAACTTTCGTCAACTTTACATTAAGTAAATCCACTTCAAAAGCTAATTACTCCTGGACAGAAATGCCATAGGGATATACAGAGCGACCGCAAAAACGGAAGTTCAAAGACAATATTCTAAAGATGGCGGCGCATTTCTCTGGCGCATAGTTCACTTGAGTTGTTCGCTTTCAATTGGTAACAATTGGTAAAGTTCTTCAGTTTAGTTGGTAACACTTTACAATAAGGTTTCATTAATTAACATGAACTAATAATGAAAAATTATTCTAAAGCATTTATTAGTCTAAGTTAATGTTAATTAATTTATTGGACCTGCGCTAACATGAGCTAACAATGAACAGTTGTATGTGTAAATATATATATATAAATTTTTTAACATTACTAACTAAGATGTATAAATAGCCTACTGTAACAAATGTATTCCTCATTGCTAGTTAATGCATTGACTAATTATTGTATGTTAAATGTTACTTCAGGTTTTAAAGTTGCGAGTGTCAATTTAATTAAGTTCCATAACAATGTAGGTTTATTTATAAAGCTTTTCAGTTGACTTAAGACTTCAAATTTTAATCATTTAAATTTTAAGGTAAAATCTTTAGATTAGGAAACGCATCTTCCCTATTAAATAGTTGCTTATTAGCATACATTGTACTAGCATTGGCTGTTTATTAGCACTTATAAAGCACATACCCTTCCCCATACCCAAACATATCCACAACTACCTTACTTATAATCAATAAGCCTTGAGGGAAAACTCCTAGTCAATAGTGTTACCAAATCATGTTTGTGTATGCCTGGTATAGTGCATTGAGAGAAACATTAATGGGTAATGGGTTATCATAACTGTCTTTAGGTTCCATTCAGTTTAATGCAATTCAGTTTATTTCAACTCTATTATTGTAGTCTATTCAGGTGTATGAGGAAAAACTACAACCTAGGTTATCAAAGACTAAAAAATATAGTGTTGTAATTCACCTTAAGCATCAAATCATTCAGTATCAGAATTATTAATTCTCCTAATCAAGATCTGGTTGAAGCGGACCCGCCGTCTCACCCGTGAGAACCGCGCTGTAAAGATAAGCTGGGATGAATCTGTATTGGAAAGGGCGAGGTCTGCCAGAGGCTGTGTAATATAAATGCAGCGGGTGTGTACAGCTTGTCTGTGGGATCTTTCCACGCTCTGTGACTTTGACAATGGTCGGCTCCGAGCCTCAGGATTACAAACCGCATCCTGGTCAGGGATGATGCAGGTGGCCAACACAACAACCTGATGTGCAGGTTATGTCATAGAGTATTTCAGAACAAATGTGGGTTGGTTTTCACTACACATATCATATGATACAAAATCATATATTCATGAACTATTATTACGAGAACGATAGCCGTGCCCCATGTATTGGAACTGTATCAGAATATAAAAGCCTTAATCAGCGTCCAATTCTACAGCAAACCATTTCAGATGGGGGAGTAAACCGTATTACACATATCCACATCATTCTTTCTTCCACTATTGCATTTATCGCTCCTTTCTTTTTTGTAGCCTACTGTAGTATTGTTCATTTACCAGGAATTGTGCTTCAGATATTGCCTCTCTATCTGCATATGATCCAAAGGCTTGGCCCTTTGCCACAGTTTATGACTCCAGGTGTGTCCTGGTTACTTCCGTGTTTGGGTGGTCATGTACGTAGGTTTCTCTCTTTTTCTTGATCCTGGCAGATTGGAGGAAAAAAAAAAAGCCTGAAGACAAACAGGCAAAAGTTAAAGAGTTTTCCGAAGCTCACACACATGACAAAACATCCTACAATCACTCTCAGTCAACATTTACACCACACTGTGTGTATGTGTGTGTGTGCTTTCACGCTCATTTCACCCTACCACACTCATTCAACTCTCTATTGTGGATGAATGTACCCTGTCGAGAGAATACAGGTGACATTTATCAGAGATACAGACCCAGAGAGCAAATACTGTCCTGTTTTCATTCTCTCTCCACACGCGCATGCACAGGCTGTTTGAGGGAGATTGGCAGGGTGGAGGGGGACTATATTTGCCAATAAAGTGTGTTTTTAAAGTGTCCTTTCATCTGGCAGGAAATTGCATAAGTTTTGTGGGATTATAAGAGGCAGGTTTACAACGCAGTTTTCGTTTCAGAACAGGTAAAAACAAATGGGCAGGTGGGAAATAACTAACCTGGGTTTATGATGTGTACAGGGGAGCAAAACCTGGGAATAGAGGAGAACACAGGCGTGATGACGTGTATACTTTAATGAAAGCACGGGATAAACAGTCATGGTCAGAGGATTTCAAAATCTCAGCTCACATTTTCATGCAAACCAATCAAATGTCGCTCAAAATGCAGACAATTGAGGATGTTTGTATCATTTGTGACTTGCCTATGACTTAAAGTGTCTTCTTACAGGTGAATATACTAATGAAGTAACCTGTTTTAATACACACACACGACTGACACGGCATGTCACAGGTGGTTAACTTAGCAGTACAACAACCTATTACATTCCTATAGGAAAATCATTTATAAGTAGCCTTGACCGATTGCTTTCTTTCATTATTTAAAAAGAAAAGATGTAATCCTTATATTGTAATATTGCGATATTTCAAAAATGACGTCAATGAAAAAAGAAAAAAAGTGTTATTTATTGTTCCTGGAAAATTTGCCCAGGATTATATGTTACATCCATGCAATTACAGGAGGATATGGGTCATAAAAATGTAGCAATATGTTCTTGTTGTTGATGGTTGGTCATAATTATGATACACTATATTATGCATTTTTATTTTCATAAGAAACGTGAATTAAGATGAATTATCTATATATAGATGAGTTAAATGACTGAACAGATATGTTAATTCATTGTATCTTCATAAGGGTTACTCTGCTAATAAGTTATTACTAAAAGCTGATAGAAAAAGAAGAGTGGCAGTGTGAATGCTAAACTCATCCGTTAATGTCAGTGTAACGGTAAGGTCCCCTGTCTTTTTTCTTTTTTAAGGATAGACACCTGACTGCATCCTGGACTGGCGACAGGTTCCTGACTCTCCCATAACTGCCGTGCAGCCCGAGGGCAGATATACCGGTCTGAGCCACTTCAAAACACTTCATACACAGGGAAACTTTTCGTATACACGTGTTTGTTCATTTTATGAATTATGATACCTTTATGTTGATATTTTCCAATATTCACTCCTTATGACTTAAGAATATTGAGATATATACATTTACTAAGCTATAGCCTTGATTTACATTTGATTCAGTCCTGATATCTTTCAAACTGAGCATTGTTAAATTAAATATAGTATTATTTTATTTCTTGAGTGTCATTTTATAAACCGCCATGTGCATATTTTGTCTGCCACTTTTGTAATGATTGAGTGTTATTTAAAGAAGCTGCCTTCAGAGATTAGCATAAATACAGAGTTAAACATTTGCTCTCGTATCTGCTTCTCTCACCTCACCATAATATATATATCAGCCTGACACTGCGTTAGTCTTAAATAATATAGTCCTACATCTCCCTCTGCTGGACAAAAGCCCACATAACATAAACCAGACTTTACCTGTTTCTCAAGCACGGCAGATGTTTTTTCATGCTCCAGAAGTCGAAGGGTACGGAGATCCTAAATATGTAAAATAATAATAATAAATAAATAAATAAAAATCTTAAAAATATATTAACATTAACGATAAAATATAGTGTCGTTCATTATCTAGAATAGACTACAATTTTGTTCACAGTCAAACATGTATTGTTTGTAATATAAACTACGTAAGCAGCCGTTAACGTTACTTATTCACGATACAGTACCTTATTGCTTTTATAAAACGGTTACCACACAAATATATTAAAGTTAAAAAAAACGGATTAGTGCAACTTTCATGAAGTAAAATCAATAAAAGCCTTCCCTCCGCTAGAAAAAAAAAAGTCCCTGACCGTGAACAGCAACGTTTCAATGTGTAATATAAAAACAACATAGGAACTGCAGTGTTATTGCGCAGTGAGATATAACCCTAACCGTTGGGTGAAGCGGTCATAGCCGTGTTTTATCATGAATAAAGCACAGCTATTGACCAATCAGAATCAATGATTGGAACTATCCGCTTTATAATCGCAAATTAAAGACGTAAACGTTGTTGAACTGCGTAGAATAACGAATAATAAATAGTGTTGTTGTTTTTTCAGGAAACGTAACGTTACAAACTAAAGATGTTCTTAATGTCAAAAAAATATATTGGGATTATACTGGAAAAAAAGCTCAAATTAATACTTAGCTCAGTTTAGCTATGTATGCCTACTTAAAATATAACTAGGGCTACTAACTTGCATAAAACCATGTGATTCATATTCCAAATTAAATTCACACAATGGCCAGAGAGCGATGAAATTAATAATATAATACGCAAAAATAACAATAAGATGTTCTCCTGTTGTTTCTGGTGGCGTTTTCAGCAAAATAAATAAATCGTGGTAACAAACACACTGAAATAAATTTCTACAGCCTACGTCACTCTCATGGCGTTCCCCCATAGGTTACTTGAAATGTGATCACGTGACACACTGACAGTGAGCTCGAGCAGGGCTGCTGACTAGTGTACTTTGCAAACAGTGAAGTGTACTCATTGTTTACGCCGATTACTCCTCGTTGTTTTGAACAGAGAGCACTTGTTTTCCTCTGTAGACCGAGCTCATTGATAGCTGAGATACCGCTGCGCCTCAGACGGGATGGTTTGCTTTGTGAGCTGTTAGATCACAGGTATGTCCTTCATTTCCTTTCCCTTGTCTTTACAACTATTCAACTTCAGCTTTGTTGACAGGTTATACATGCAACATCTACTAATGTGTTCTTTACTAGATGTAGATCCACAAAATAGACCATATGGCTGTGGCTCAAACCCTATGAGCTTCCTATCTAGGCGGCATTTTCTAGACGGGTGAAACAATTGCAAGTTAGTGCAGATGACGTTTAATTATACGTCCAAAAACTAAAATTAATTTCTGATAGCTTATAATGCAAATCAGTATTGCAGACTACTTGCATACAATGCATTATAAATATTAGTTTACAGTAACGTTACATCTCCCGAAAATATGTCTCGGTAAGATGATATTTAAATAGTTAGTTTTATGGTCAAAGCTCACTAAACATATAATGTAATGTAATGATGAGGGAGAGAAACACATAAAGATTCTTCATCAAAAACATGTATCATATTTCATAATTATATTTTTACGTATGTTTTCAAAATAAATAAAAAAATGAGGTATGGATAATCAACCTAAGTGCCTGCAGTCTAGTAAATGTTTAGTAAAATTTGAATAACAATATTTGTTTTATAAAATCATTATAGTGGTAACACTTTACAATACGGTTTCATTAGTTAACATGTTACTATTAAAGTTTTCACAGCAAAAATACACGTGAACCATGGCCTGAAGGTGGACAGTTATACTGAAAGTCCCTTACTTGTTAAAAAAAAAAGTATCAATCAGAAGACTGAAAAAAATGGTGAAAAACAGGTTTTTCACTAAAGTTTTTACCATGCTGGGGCCTTCAAAATTATTCTATACACTTGGTTTCATAGGTTTAACCATTAAAATGTAAAGTGAAAATAAATTAGACTTGATGAAGCGTTTCAAAAGTAATGTGTACATTATATGAAATGGCAGACATTTTTTACTCAACAAGATTACTCAAACTACAGCAGAAAACACCCCATCTAGATCACGTTACTATCAGGAACCTCAGTCACGTGACCCTGTGCTCATGATTCTCATAACCTGCACAGCATCTGCATTTCTTCATTTTCTCTACATCTTCAAAAACACTTCCACTTTTAAGTCAGATGATATCCAAGAGTGCCAGTTTCGTGTGAAAGATTTGCCAAGCTCATCAAGACTCATGTGTCAGTCATTTGGCTGTTCAGTGTAGCCACTAATGCTGACGTCTGGCTCTTTCTGTATAATGAACTGGCAAAAGCCCTGTGTCTATAGAAATGCTCGGAAAGGGAGTGAATGGTGACATACACAGACGTGCACAAACACATACACAACCCAGCCTACATGCTCACATGAACAGGTTCCCTCGAGCAAGACTGACTCATCTCATATGTTTTAGGATTTGTATTTCCTCCTAAAGTGCTGGTGAACCTCCTAGACGCAATGAAGTCAGACATACCATACGAAAAGGTAGGTTATGCATTCCATGCTTATTTATGCCTTCATTTAAATGCTTTAAAATTGATTGTGATTCTTCCACACCTTAAAGGAGTAGTTCACTTTTGCAAAAAAAAACTTTTGCTGATAATTTACTCACCCCCATGTCATCCAAGATATCCATGTCATTCTTGCTTCAGTCGAAAAGAAATGAAGGTTTTTGATGAAAACGTTCCAGGATTTTTCTCCTTATAATGGACTTCAATGGGAACCAAACGGTTCAAGGTCCAAATGAGAGTTTCAGTGCAGCTTCAAAGGGCTTTAAACGATTCCAGACGATGAATAAGGGTCAAGCAAAACGAGTGCTCATTTAAAAAAAAAAAATCCCATTGAAGTCCATTATATGGAGAAAATCCTGGAATGTTTTCATCAAAAACCTTAATTTATTTTCGACTGAAGAAAGAAAGACATGACATCTTGGATGACACGGGGGTGAGTAAATTATCAGCAAAAGTTTTTTTAAAAGTTAACTACTCCTTTTAAATTCAATTATTGTTTTTGGATTATCTATTGGTTGTTATTTATAAATTAATGTACAAACTTAACTACAATTCCTTTTGTTTTCATGTTTTGCTCCAGATGGTGGATGTGGAGCTAAGCAGAGGAGAAGCACATCATGGCTCACAAAAGGTAACAAATAAATCAATCTTTCCTAATGGGTCGCTTGACGACGCACGAGAATGAACCTCATTTGTTCTTGCTGAAGCTCAAACGTGTAATCGGTTGCTTTTAAGAGCAACAGAATCCAAGTGACCATAAACAAAGTCAAAGTTTGGGTGTTTGTGGTCACAATTGTCCGTTAAAATGAATGGGAAAATGTGTTGAATAAAATTAATATAAAAATGTTGATCAAACACACACAGAAATAAAGGAGTAAGACTATAAAGTGAAAAAGATTCACACACAGACAGAGAGAAATGAATGGGAGTTTGTGACTGTAAAATGTGAAATATTATATTAAATTTTTAAAAATGATGTAAAAATAAAATAATGTATGGCAAAGTTTGACAAATAATAGTTCGATAATGTTTAAACAAATATCCAAATTTGTATTTTCTAAGCTTACAATCTAGAACTTTCACCAGATGGCAGCAGTCTGGCCCAAATGCATGATAATGTTGGCTGTGTTTAAGTAATTTAGCTTATTATACAAATGATAGTGAAAGAGAGAAACTTTCACATAAAAAAAATATCTAAAAGATGTGAATAATTCCATTGTTACTACTCCAGGCCAAATAGCTACGGTTCAGGGCTAAATATCCAGTGATGTATGTACAATCTCTAATAACTGTATAATAACAATACCAGTCTAATAATAACAATCTCTAATAACATCTGTCCAATAACAAATTTGGTACTGGAACACTGTGTATAACAACTGTTAATTACATTGTACCTCATGTTTCACTCATTGTTTTGATAAAATGTCTATTTATTTGGTAAAAAATCTGTTTAATCAGCAGGATGATGGACAAATGGCCATCATAAATTGTTTGTTTTGTTAATAATGGCCAGTTAACTGTACATTATCCCTCATATGTCTATAATTGCCCAGGCGTTTTGAACATATTCCATCTCTGTGTTTAGTATTACAGGTGTCTGATCATCCTCACCTGTTTAACCACAGTCTTGTTGATACTCCTGTCACTCCAATCCCTGCTTGTTCCGATGGCAACATCATCATCCTCCTCCTCTAAAGCATCTGGACAGCAGAAGCATCTTCTCACCAGAGAAACCTGCACTGATCCCTGCAGGTAGACTTTATTATTCTGTGCCACATATGTGTTTTATTTGGAGGGTTTTAGTGGTCCATTGGTATATGTGGTTAACCGTAGCACACGGTTTCACATCTGCACCTTTAATGAAGTCTGAATTTGTGGCTAACTATAGTTTATATGTGTCATCTACAGGATTGTTTTAGTGGAGAGTATTCCCGAGGGCCTGGTGTTTAACTCCTCTACCACTCACCCGTCTATATATGAGGCCTGGCTCAACCTTATATCTGGCGCGCAAACCAGTCTGGACATCGCCTCCTTCTACTGGACTCTTACCAATAGAGACACACACACACACGAGGCCACAGCTAATCAGGTTTGGATGTTAAGTTTACTGAA